AACTGGGACTCATCAAGGGAGCAGACCAGAGGAGAAAAACCAAACAGAAAATATGAAGAAACAAGAATTCAAAAAAATTGGAGAGGCTAAGGTCCTCAGGACATCTTCAAACGCTAACATCTGAATTATGGGAGCACAGAAGGAAGAGGAAACAGCCACAGAGTGGAAACCTTATTTGAACAAATAATAAAGGGGGACTTCCCCCATTCTGGCAAAAGGAAATAGACTTCCAGGAAATCCAGGGAGCTCAGAGAGTCCAAAGTTGGACCAGAAGGAACACACTGGGCACATCCTTATATTGGCCAAGATTAAAATGAAGGGAGAATTTTGAAGCAGCAAGAGATAAGGGGACAGTCACCTACAGAGAATCCCCATCAAGGCACAATGTAGCTGACTTCTCAAAGAGACCTTACAGGCAAGGGGCTAGAAAAGTATTCCAATTATGAAATCCAGACCACCAGATTAATCTATCCAGCAAACTTTCATTTTAGAATGGAGAGGGCAGATAAGTGCTTCTCAGATAAGTCAAATTCAAGAGTTCATCATCACCAAGCCCTTATTATATGAAAGTTAAAAAGACTTAAAGAAAAAGAAGATAAAAATATGAACAGTGAAAGGACAGCAAACTCACAGTTATTAACAACCACACCTAAAACAAAAAATTAAGAGGATAGCTAGATCAGGAGCAGAACCATAGAAATGAAGATCACACTTGAAGGGTTAACAAAGGAGTTTGAGAAAGAACGGGGAGAAGGTACGAAATACGTGGCATAGACCATAGATAGAAAATGGATGGGGGAGGGGAGTAAGAATAGTAGGGAAAATATAGAATCTAAAGAACTTGAGACATGTGGTCATAAACTAAAGGGGGAATGGTGTGGGATGGGGTATGCAGGGTGGAGGGGAATGAAGGGGGGAATAGAACAACTGTAATGACATAATCAATAAAATACATTTAAAAAATCATAATGAGATATCATCTCACACCTGCCAGAATGTCCACCATCAATAAATCAACAAACAACAAATGGAACCTTAGTGCACTGTTGGTAATACTGGTGCCCTCGGGAAAACAGTATGGGGTTTTCTCAAAAAATTAAAAATGGAGAAGTTGCTTATGCCTCAGTATTTCACTTCCAGGAATAAATCCTAAGAATCCAAAACAACCAGTTTGAAAGAATATGTGCATCTTCACCTCTATAGATTATGCAGCGTTTGTTACAGACAAGTTGAAATAGCCAAGTGTCCATCAGCAAAATATTGGGTAAAATGGGCCCTTGGTGCATTTTTGCACGAATAGTTCATAAAAAAGGAGAAATTTTCGCCTTTTGCAACAACATGGATGGACCTGGAATTGTTTGCTAAGTACTAAAACCAGTCAAGCATAAATATTATATTATCTCAGTTCTATGTGATTCTAATGAACAAAATAAACTGATGAGCGCAAGGGAAATAGAAGCGAGCATGGTTACATAAAACAGGCTGGCTGACAGATGTCCTGACGAAAAGGGAAAGGGGCAACTGGATAAAAGGCGAAGGAATTTTCAAAGAGAATATATGCATAGCCCATAGACACAGAAACAGTGTGGTGACCAGAGAAAACAAGAGTGGGGGCTAGATGAAGGTGGGTAAGGGAGAGAAATACAAGAACATCTGTAATAATGTCAAAAATAAGAATAAAATTAATAATATTTAATTATTATTAAATAATTTAATAAATGGGTTACCTGAGCCAGGCTGCATTCTCTGATTTTTCTGGGCTGCATTGGATTGCCCTGGGGCAGGTGTAGCTCTGATGGACTGAGCACAGGCCTGTGAAGCAAAGGGTCACTGGGTGCGATTCCCAGTCAGGGCACATGCCTGGGTTGCAGGCCAGATCCCCCAGTTGCAGACACACATGACAGACAAACACACATTGATGTTTCTCTCCAACTCTTTCTTCTTCCCTTTTTTCTCTCTCTAAAAAAAATAAGTAAAATATTTAAAATATATATTTGAGATTATTTTAGCACCAAAAAGAGTAAGTTAAACACATTCATTATTTTTATAAAAACCACAATCATTCTATGAAGGAGACTCAAAGGTCATCTATAAATAATCTTTATTAGAGGGGACATAACCAACTCCTTACCCTAAAAAGCTATGGCTTTTAGGAACAGTGTCCAGGCTGGGTCCTGTTTCCCAGCAGGAATGAGTGTCCAGGGGTGAGGGAAGCCCCTCTGCACAGGAGGTGCTTCCATCTCAGTGCAGGGAAGGAGCAGAGAGTCATTGACTGCCCTTGTGTCTCAGACAATACAATGGCGGGGGGATGCAGCAGTGGAGCTGGGGATGTGACACCTTCAGGCACTTAGGTGTCACATCAGGTCCCCACAGGAACTGAGGGGCTATGAAGTTAATAGTGGGAGACTGAATTGTCTGTTTGTACTGGAGATGGTCTCTGTTGTTTTGTTTTTTGATGGATACAGTGCATTAGTTTCTTGTGGCTGAAATAATACATTTCCACAAATTAAGTGGCTTAAAATTTTAAAAAAGTTATTCTCTGGCATTCTGCAAGTCAGGAAATCCAAATCAAAGTATGGGCAAGACCTCCTTTTCTCCACAGGCTCTAGGACACATTCCATTCTTTTCTCTCCATCCTGGGTGGCTGCTGGGATTCCTTGGTTTGTGGCTGCATCACTCCCATCTCTGCCTCCATCTACACATGGCCTTCTCCTCCTTGTGTCATTTCGTCTTCTGTTTCTTAGAAGGAACATATCATTGGATTTAGGACTCATACAGAACACCCAGTATAATTTCATCTTGAAATCTTTAACTTAATTATGTTGTCAAAGAACCTATTTCAAACTTAGGTCACATTCACAGGTTCCAGGAGTGGGATGTGAATATATTTTGGGAGAAACTCCCCCTCAACTCTCTACAGGCAGCCTGGTTTTTGGTACTGTCTATGCTGGCATCTGGGGTGATTCCAGGGCTTCACCCATGGGGGCTCCCCTGAACATCTGAATGAGTGCCACAGAATTTAGGCCTGCAGTTTACAGAAGTGGGCCACTTAAAGGGGAAAAGAGAGATCCTAGGAGAGAACTCCCAGACAGATCCAGACAAGGGCCCCCAGGACCACCTGCCCAGGCCCTGCAGAGACTCAAGTTTGCAGTAAAAGGGAAGGCTTTCTAAATTGATATCACATGCACTCTGAAACCCGTGCTTAGATCATGACTATAAAAAATGTCACAAAATATATGGAGACAAGCACAAAAATGAACATGGATATCCTGGACCACATCAAACCTTTGTGCTTCAAAAGCCTTATTAAGGAAGTAAAAGAAAAACCCACAGAGTGGGCAAAAAACCCCACAAATCACCTATTGTATAAGGGACTTGTATCAAGAATATATGCTAAGTAAGCCCCTGGCTGGTGTAGCTCAGTGCATTGAGCATGGGCCTGTGAACCAAAAGATCAGCGGTTTGATTCCCTGTCAGGGCACATGCCTGGGTTGCAGGCTAGTTCCCAGCAGGGGCCAGTTCCCAGCAGGGGATGCACCAGAAGCAACCATACATTGATATTTCTCTCCTTCTCTTCTTCCCTTCCCTTCTAAAGATAAATAAATAAGTAAAAAAATAATATATGCTAAATAACATACAAAACTAATAATGAAAAAAAAACAAAATTATCTCAGCATAAAATCTGCAAAGCATATGAATAAACAGATGTCCAAAGAAGACATACCCAAGACAAATAAGAAGATAAAAATGCTCCACATCGTTAGTCATAACAGAAATGAAAATAAAAACTACAAGATTCCACTGCACACTCTCTGATTTGGCCAGAATCACAGACAGTTAGTAGGAAATCCTCATTCACTTCCTGAATGACTTGCCTTCAGTGTTCTGGCAGGTTCTCTAAGTCTTCAGCAGAGTTTCTGATCCAGCAACTCCACCCCCAGGTATATGCCCAAGATGAAGGACAATATATTTCCCACCAAAAGTGTACCTAGCACATTATTCACAACAGCCAAAAAGCAAAACAATTCAAATATCCACCAACGAATGAATGGAAAACCAAACTGTGGTATGTCCATGCACCGGAATACTCTTCATTCATATACAGAAATGGAAAAATGCACATGTTAGGACATGGATGAACCTTGAAAACATTGAGTCAGTGGAAGAAGCCAGACACAAAGGTCACATACTATATACATGATCTCACTTATATGAAATGACCAGAATAGGCAAATCCAGAAAACAAAGAGTAGATTTACTGTTGCCAGGAATTGGAGGGTTCAGAGGATTGGGATATGACTAATAATGGGTTTGGAGATTCTTGGGGACTCTGAAAATCAGGAGGCAGTGATGGATTCACAACTGTGAGTATACTCAAAGATTAAATGTGCACTTTATGTGGGTGAGTTATACTCAATCAACCTCCATTTTAAAGAATATATTTTATTGATTATACTGTATAGTTGTACCATTTCCCCCTTCACTCCCCTCCACCTGCATACCCCCTCCCACCCACATGCCTCCCTTTAGTTCATGTACATGTGTCATACTTATGAGTTTGTTGGCTTCTACATTTCCTATACTATTCTTACCTCGCCCTGTCTATTTTCTACCTACCATCTATTACTTATTCTCTGTACCTTTTCCCCTTTTAACTCCTCCCAAACCCCTGTTCATAAACCTGCATGTGATCTCCATTTCTGTGGTTCTGTTCCTGTTCTAGTGGTTTGCTTAGTTTTGTTTTGTTTTTGTTTTAGGTGTGGTTGTTAATAATTGTGAGTTTGCTGTCATTTTTTATCATCTTTTTCTAAGATAAGTCCCTTTAACATTTCTTATAATAAGGGCTTAGAAATGATGAACTGCTTTAACCTGACCTTGTCTGGAAGCACTTTATCTGCCCTTCCATCCTAAATGAAAGCTTTGCTGGATAGAGCAATCTTGGATGTAGGTCCTTGCCTTTCATGACTAGGAATGCTTCTTTCCAGCCTCTTCTTGCCTGTAACTTCTCTTCTGAGAAATCAGCTGGCAGTCTGATGGGAACTCCTTTGCAGGTTATTGCCTCCTTTTTCTCTTGATGATTCTAGGATTCTCTCCTTCATTGTAATCTTGGGTAATAGAATTATGATGGGCCTTGGTGTGTTTCCTCCCTGGGTCCAACTTCTCTGGGACTCTCTGAGATTCCTGGATTTCCTGGAAGTCTATTTCCTTTGCCAGATTGGGGAAGGTCTCCTTTATTATTTATTCAAACAACTTTCTCACTTATTGTTTTTCCTCTTCTTTTTCATGTACCCCTATAATTCGGATGTAGGAGTGTTTCAAGATGTCCTGAGGTTTCTAAGCCACTCCTCAGTTTTTTGAATTCTTGTTTCTCTATTCTGTTCTGGGTAAATGTTTTTTTCTTTCTTCTGGTTCACACCATTGATTTGAGTCCCAGTTTATTTCCCATCACTATTGGTTCCCTGTACATTTTCCTTGATTTCACTTAGCATAGCCTTCATTTTTTCATCCAATTTGCGACCAAATTCAACCAATTCTGTGAGCATCCTGATTACCAGAATTTTCAACTGTGCATCTGATAGGTTGGCTACCTCTTCATCACTCATTTGTATTTTTTTCTAGAGCTTTGATCTGTTCTTTCCTTTGGGCTATTTTTTTTGTCTTGATGCACCTGTTATGTAGTGAGGGGTGAAGCCTTAGGTGTTCACCAGGTGGGGCAACCCACTTTGCTGTGTTGTGATGCTGTATGTGGGGAAGGAGTCCAAGAGAGAACACTGCTCCACTCTCTGCCAGATTTCAGTCACTTCCCCCACTTCCCTCAAGCAAATTGGGCCCTTCTAGTGCTAGCTCCTGCGTGGGTTGGCTCGTACACATTATCGGACTCTGTGGGTACCTCCAATGAACTCCCCTTTGAGGCTGAAAGTTTCTCTCAGCACCTCAAGCCCTACAGGTGTTTTTGATCAGTAGTTTGAGGCTTAATTTTCTACGCTGGGTCTCTGGGTTGTGTGGTCCTTCTCCCTCCCCAGTTTTGCCTGCTTTATCTGCATGCAAATGTGGGACCACTGGTTGCACCAGCCAACACCTTGCCTGCCAGCCACAGCCTTGCATGCTGCACTGGTTCCACAATCAGCAGACTTGCTGGGTCCACCAGCCACCTCTTTGCATGGCCCTGGTTCACCAGCTACCACTTTGGTTAGGTTCCTCTACACCTGGCTGTCCTACTCCGCCCCTCCTAGCAGTCTGGCTGAATGTGTCTTCTTTACCTCCTTGGTTTTCAGACTTCCATAGAGTTCAATTTTCTGTCATTACTGGCTGTTTTTTAGTTTCTAAATTGTTGTTGTCCTTATTTTGGTTGTGCAAGGAGGCACATGTGTCTATCTATGCCTCCATCTTGGCTGGAAGTCTAACCTACATTTTTTAACACACTTAGTCAGGTGAGTGTATGAGTTTCCTACTGCTGCTGTTTGAAATATCTACAAACTGGTGAAGAAATTTGAACGTGAACTGGGAGTTAGATGACATGAATGAAGTACTGTTCTGTTAGGGGCTTGAAAGAAATTATGGTTTATGAAAAAAAATTCTCACCTTCTGAAGATAAGCAGGTGGACAAATTAAGGACAGAGTTTAGTGTTTCTGTAATTAATTTGTTAATGTTCCAGAGAAAAGCTGAAAAACAAATTAAAAATTTAAGAGTTAGCTAGATCGACGCAGATAGATACATGGGGAATATAACCAAATATGTGAAAAATTTCTCCTTGTGATGGATATGTGACTCTTATTTTTTGTTTGTATATTCGAATTTATCACAGTAGAAACTTAAAGAAAATATTTTTCTTATTTACATTAGGACACATATGTGTGTTGTATATGGCTTAGGGGCATAGGCATGTGGTTTAGGGCCTGGAAATGCCCACTCTAAGTAAGCTATGGGCACACACACCTCACACTCGATGCAGTGTAGATGCCCTAGAGCCAGCATATCTGACATTCTTCTTTAAGAGGAGTTACCTCTACAAAAGAATCTGTGGGTACCCACCTCAGACCCCTGCTTTGACATGTGTGTTTGCCCCTTCGGATGCCCTCTGCTGCACAGGTTTGGCCTCAGCTGGCCACAGACCTTGATTGTAGCCCAGTCTGGCCCATTTCACAGTCTGACATCCAGAACAATTAGCTACTCAATGGGTGTGTGGTTTTGTCACCACATGTGTGGTACTTTGTTACAAAGGCCACAGGAAGCTAGGACAGCCTTTCATAAAGCACTTTGCACAGCTTGAAAGGCAATGCCTTCCCATCAAGACAGTCCCTACCTCACTGTGGTCCAGACCCACAACAGGGTTGATGCCAGAATACCCAAAATAAGAATTTAGCAGTTGGCCAACAAGAAAAGAAGGAATAAAACACAGGGGAGCTACAGTGTCCAGCTAATTTTCACAACCGTAGTCAGAGAGTATGTTTTCAAGCAGATCCAAGGATGCAGGGGATGATAGACCACAAACCTGTGTCAATTTCAGGCAGGTCCCTACCACACAGAACTTAACTCCCTGGCAAGAGTGCAGTATGTGCTTCTGGACCAATGCTGAAATACCTCTGGAGTGTCTAGGATAAAATAGTGCCACAGTAAATAAAGAGACGTAGAAGGAGCCAGAAGTCAGAGATGAAAACAAGAGGTGTTGTTTCAGAACTGGACTCCAGAGTAGCAAGGGGGTGACAGAATCTGGGAATGGCAGAGGTCAACACTTGGCCACCAGAAGCCAGGGGGGTATAGTTACATTACAGGCAGCACTATCAAAGTGCAGCCTGGTCTGTGGAGATGTGGGGGATGAATCCAAGAACATCGAACATGGTGTCCTTAAGAACAAAAGATAGGAAAAGCCAGCATGATGTCCCTTAACAGATGTACTCCAAAGATGAAGAATGGAGGAGAATAAAGCTGCAGTCAGCTGTCCCAACACAGAGTCATGGTCCTTGGCCCAGTGTAGACCTGAGAAATCCTCACAACCAGACTCTCGATTAACAAAAGCTCAGTCCTCAGGAGGAGGGTGCCAGCGGCATAAATGTGTACCCCATGTGATCCCCCATTTATCTCAGATGGGCCCTACAGAGTAAGGGCCAAGTTCCCCATTATTTGGGTAAGTGAAAAAGGAATGTGCAGCTCTTTCAAGAGCTCTGGGACATTGAGCCCAGGCTGGCATAATGGTTGGGGACTCTGATCACCACCAGGGCTCCAATTTAGATTATTGGTGTAAAGGGGTCGAAAAAGTTGTGGATCCCTTGCCCACACTGGTCTCACATTGGCCCCACTGCATCTGCTGACCCAACAAGTGGTGACTTCCCTGGATCCAGATGTGAAATAAAATTTTTTTTTACCGTGGTTATTGGCTTGTAAGTAAAGCTATTATTGTAGAAATAAATGATGTTTAGTGGAGATTTCTAAGTCCATCTCTCACTTCTTAAGAATTCATTCAAAGACAAACATCCCACTGCAGTGCTGGCAAAGATGCTGAAAAGGTCTGACTTCAGACCATGCTTCATTACAAGCCACCTGGTCACAGGAGGACAGGGTAACTCTTTGGCACTCACTCTGGAAAGGGCTTGCTATATACTTGGTTCCCTGCTCTGCATTCACCACCTCCCCCCAGACAGCTGTCCCAGTCCCTTTTCTAGTCTGACTTCCTCACCCTGAAACTCCCTTCCTGCCTTAAGTCCCCAGATACTCACAGATCAAGATTTCCTGTGTTCACAGTGTCCCCAGTGCTCCAAATCCCTCATCGCTCTCCAGACTGGATGGTCATTTTCCTCACCCACTGAGCTTCAGCCTCATGTCCCCTGTCAGGCTGTGCATCTGGTGCTCCCTCTTGTCCTCTAAGTCAGGCTGCTGAACTGAGTCTGTGGGAGCCTTTACCTTTCCTCAATCCTTCAGACTTGAAGGTTCACTGTGCCCTTCCAAGTCCAAAAAGATGACACCCTCGACTTCACTGCACCGATTTCAGCTGCTTCCCCCTTAAATGGTAGGTCTGCCCCTGACTGAGACTCATCCTGAGCCCCCTTCAAAAGCCCTTCTCCATGGAAACAGTAGGTCCACTTGATCACAAGGCCTTCCCAAAGAGCCCAAACTGTTCCCAGGCTTTCCAATTCTCTCATTCTAACTCTGCACGGGAGCCCTCCCCTCTACATCATTCCCTGCTGCCACCTCAGGTTCCAACCATCTACTTACCTCTTTGTTTTTCTTTTTAATTTTTTAAATTTTTTTAATTGTTATTTTTCAAGTACAGTTTTTTGTCTATTTCTCCCATCCCAGCTCCCCCGCCCCCACCCCATACCGTGCTTACCACTTCCTACTTACCTCTTTTTCAGGTCCTCTAGGATTCAAACTATGCTCACTAACCAACATGAGCAAACAGCAAGACAACTCACATGGTAGGATTAATTTCTCAATTCCTGTGTCCTGTGCGTGAACTCTCCTTCATGCAGACACACCTAGTTTGTGAAAATATCAAACAAAGTACACACGTGAAAACACAAACATCTGCCTTGAGGTGGATGACCAGGTGGGGCCCAGGGGAGTGAGCCTGCAATGGGATCATGGAGCAGCTGACAACAGGCAAGACCTTTCATCCACTGGAGCAAAAATGCTGATGGCTTTTCAGGACCAGTTGCAATAAACAGTCTGTCCGAGTTATGGCAGAATACCTTCGAAAGCTGTGTAATTTTGTTTCATAAGTATGAAGTGAAAGTGTATGTGGGGTTAGAACAGTGCTGGCGGTTAAGGCTGCTTCGGTGCTGTGGTCTTCCTGGTCTCTATCCCGTCATCAGGCTTCCACTTGGAAGGGAAAGCCAGGCTCTTGGGGGACCAGTATTTAGCCAACCACAGCACTGAAACGACCAAAATGCCAATTCTTTATACATGTTGGTTCTGCAGTTTCACAGTTGTATGGTCCTCCTGAACTGTAGGGGGACCCTTGCCTCTTACTTCCTCCAGCATTTGCCCCATTGGTCAGCTTCAATGCCAATCCAGTTGGTACAGCAAGTAGTTTTGGAGCACAGGTGGTTCTTGGTAATGTGGCCGACACTCATTGGCCTCCAAAGAGTGTGCGTCAGTTCTCGATGGGGGAGTGACATATCCAGTACTCTACAAAAGGCTGACTCTCCTAGAGTGAGGCCATAACTGGACTGAAACAACTGAAGCAAACATTACACTGTTTCACTGGAGCCGCTCATTTTATTTTGAAAGGACCAGGCCATGGAGTATGCAGTGAGTAGAGGGGCTAAATTTCTCGCAGATAAGATTTGGAAAGTTGTCAGAGAGAAATTAATGACATATGGAATGGGGCAAGCCATGACAGTATTAGACCCACTGAGTCCATTTCTAATAGAAATGATGCTAATATCTGCACTTTACAAGATAGTCTCAGCTGAATTCTTCCTGGGAATTTGCAAAGTTTAAAAGAAAGATCACGTATTTGTTCAGAAAGATAATGTGTTGTCGCCAACCAGCACAAGTGATTATGGTTTAATTTCTGCTCATGAATCCAGACTTGAGTTTACCCAGTGATCGTAGGTTCTTAAGGACCTATTACTTTTATGAGCTTATACATAGTGGCAACTGTCTTTTCCCCACACTTTCTCCTTTTATTCTTTTCTATTTTTTTCTTTTTTAATGATTTTTATTGTATTTTTCCCCATCACCATTTAGTCTCCATATTTTCCCCTCCCACCCGTAATCGCCACACTGTTTTCCATGTCCTTGAATTAAACACCTTAAGTAAGACACACAGAGTCCTGTCTTGGCTGCCTGGACCAATCCTTCCACTGCGGATACAACAACCACTGGCAGGGAAATTTTCATTCTGAACTTTGTTTTCATCGTGGTACTAACTCCACCTCCCCCTGACAAAGATGTGAAACTGAGAGAAGGAAGGATTGCCCGACTGGAACGCAGTCGTAGGCCTGGTTCTGTGCTGACACCCTTCTCACTTTGGGGTGAGTCCTGGCCTGGGCTCTGAGCAGGGAGGGGCCCAAAGCTGCAGGGAACCCATGAGGGGTCAGGAGGATGGGGCAAGAGGTGCGAGTGCTTGAGCCTGTACGGGGTTTGGGGGTGGGGAGGCTCAAACCTGAAATTCTGGAGTGGGGCCTTCAGAAGGCTTTGAAAACCACCTGCCTCACGCCTGAAGTGCAGCTGCTGGGCGCTGGGTGGGGGGTTGGGGGGGCGGGGCATCTCCGGATGTCAGGAAGGCGTCAACATGGCCGCCCGGAACAAGTGCGCTGATTTGGGCTCTGGGCAGGGGAGGGCATCTGGGTAGGGGACGGCGGGGCGCAAAAGTGGAATTCTGGAGTGTGGACTTGAGAAGGCTTTGAAAACCCCCTGCCTGGGGACGAAGAGCAGCAGAGGGCACCCTAAGTGCAGCTACTGGGCGCTGGTGGGGCGGGGCATTTCCGGATGCACGCAAAGGAGTCAACATGGCCGCCATGGGGCAGGCCAGGCAAGGACTTGGTCTGTGAGCTGAGGTCTTGAACCCAGGAAGCGGGGAGGACAGCTCCACGGGAGTGCTTGGGGAGTGCAAGAGGTGCGAGTGCTTGAGTCTGTGCGGGGTTTAGGGGATGGGGAGGGTTCAAAGGTGAAATTATGGAGTCGGGCTTGAGGAGGCTTGGAAAGCCTCCTGCCTCAGTGTGAAGAGCAGGAGACAGCGCCATAAGTGCACATAGTGGGCGCGGTTGGGGCGGGGCATCTCCAGATGTGAGGGGAGGAGTCAACATAGCGTGGCCACCAGGGGGCAGTCTGCTGATCTGGGCTCTGAGCAGGGGAGGGCTCATAGGTAAAATTCTGGACTGAGAAGCCTGGAGAAGGCTTTGAAAGACTCCTGCTCCATTATGAAGAGCAGCAGAGGCGCCCTAAGTACAAATCCTGGGCTCTTCTGGGAGGGGGCATTTCCAGACTAGGAGTCATTGCAGCATGGCCTCCAGGAGGAAGTCAGTGCAGTGAAGTGGGCGTGAGAGGGTCCTTGGGGCAGGAAGACTCTGTGGGACAAATTAGCGTGGGGACAGAGGGAAGATGAAGCTCTGTGCTACAGAGGATCCCCCAGAAGTTTAAAAACAGACCTTGCTTGGGGAATGGTGTGGACTTGGTCAAGCTCAAGCTCTACTAAAGGGGCATGTTAGACCTGCAGCTTAAACTGTGGTGGTGGTGGTGGTGGTTGTGGGGGCTATGCTAAGGCAACATTTTGCATAAGGAAAGTGTGAAGAAGTAGTCCCAATCCCGGTAAAGTTATTTTACCCTCAAGATTCACCCCTCGATTGTCTAGAATAGTTCCCCTCTCTTCCCCCTACCGCTTTTCTTCTTTTTCTGGGTTCTTGTGGGTGCTTCACACTCCCAGACTTTCTGGCCCTTGATCACAGCCCCACCCCATTCTTCAGATGCTCCTGGGCTAAGCACACTCCCAGCTCTTCCTGGCCCTCAACACACACCCAGTCAACATCTGCTTAATCTAGATTCATGTGGAGCCCCACATCCCCGGTCTTCTAGATAATTCTGGGCTCTACAAACTAAGCTCTTCCTGATTTTTGTCCCACTCCCTCCACATTTTTGTTATTCTGGGCTTTGGATGTTCTAAGATCTTCCCACCCTCTTTCAATGGCCCTAGCCACTCCCAGTAGATAAGCTACTTTTCAGACTCCAGTGGGAGCCTCAGTAACTCTTACTTACTCAGAGATGTTGGTATCTGGTTAAGTTGAAAGCTTGGCTGAAGGACATCTTGAAGCTCTTGAAGGTCCACGTTGGCTTGCCAGAAATTCTGCAACCACCAAACCCAGACCCAGCTTTTAGAGCATCTGTGCACTCCTCAGCGGGTTGAGAATGGAAACTGTAACTGCTTTGCTGGCTCTGGAAACTACCCGTGACTTATCCTGTCACTGACTCAAACTTGCTCTTCATTGGCCACCCTTCCCCCACGGGACTTTAGAAACCTTCTGCTTCACACCCAACACTTCCTTTATTGAAACAGCCCACACACTCAGCTCAGCCTCCTTTCTCTCCAGGGTCCTCATGTCATTCCTTCAGTTTCTGCTCACTCTCTGGAATTCTAGCCCCATGGATGCTTGAATCTCCTCTCATCTCAACCCTTTCCCTGCTCTTCCCTGTCCCATGTTGGCCTGTCCACAGGTCCCCCCACCCTAACCTGTGAGTTCCTGTGTCCCTTGAGTTTTACATCTGTGTGTCCTTACTCTAAGTGCCCTTAACACAGATACACACCAACATAGAAACACGTGTGTAACAGTAGAGAACTGTAACGGTGGGAAATTGTAACCCACCTCACTACTCTTTTGTCATCATTTCTGTATGTACTGACTCTGACTAATATGCATTTTGTAGGTGAACAGCATGCTTGTATAAGAATCCTGGGAACTAACTTCAAAAGATACAAATCCCAGCCTTCAGGCATTCCAGCTTTGGGAGATTTGCTGACATTCAACTGTGGAGTCAAAATGACATGAAGCTGAGAGGGTGCGAAGTGCGCTGGACCATCATTTGCCTCATCAGAATGGCCAGAGAGAGAGAATGTGTTTGTGTATTTGTGTGTAGACACAATGTTATGGTAGAAAATGTTTACTAATACTTATATTGCTTCTGTTACTTTTTTATTTTTCCTTCATGTATCTACTCTGTTGTATAGACTGTGTCTCCACTGTGGTCCCTGCTACTGAAGCCCTTCGCTGACCACTCAGGGCACCTTGCGGAAGAGGGGGCGTGTGAGATTGTAAGAGCTGGTCACGAGGGGTGGAGGGTGGACCAGCGATTATTCCATGATGTGTCTACTACTGGACGTTCAGGCTAGATCTGGTCCAGAATGCAGGTCGCTTCCCATAAAGCCCCTCAGAGACAGTCTGATTTCTGCGACAGGCTGGTACCCTACCAGGGCAAGCATGTGAGGTGTTTACTCCTTATCTGGTGATGTAAAGTTGACGTTGTCAGACTCACGATTGGCTCTATTTACTCCCCAAACTTTTAACAACGATTTGTATTCAGCACTGTTTGTATCCCATCTGAGCTCATGCTTACAGTATGACTCAGGTGGGGACTGGTCACTTGCCGCGGTCCAGCCGCAGCGGGTCAGGGGGTCCCACAGGTGAGGGTAGGCGTCGGCGCTGGGTAACAGACGACAACACGCCTCAAAGGACAGTGAAGCTCTGTTCCGTTTATTGAAAGTACAAGCAGGTTTTTATAGTTTTCATTTCAGGTAGTGATTAATATTTGCAGTATAACATGATCATTTAAGCAGAAAAAATCAATACAAAGGCAATCAGTAAAAGTACAAAAGTTCCCATAGATTTAGTTAAAAATTATTTTAACTAGGAGAGCCATTAATCAGACAGTTAAAAATATCTTATTGTATATTAAAGTTTCTCAGAATTTGGTATAGGGCATAAGGATACGCTAGACTGAGTAGAGAAAATAGGAGATTTATTATAAGGCCCTTGTGATGTCTAACTTAGCTATCTACCTTTTTTTTTGCTTAAAATGTTTTTTCTGTGTACCATAAATTCTGACTCCCTAGTGACTGTTCAGTTTGTAATAACTAACTAGCCTTTGTTATTACCTTGCCTGTTTAGTTGATATATATTCTTATTTAAGGTAAAGGAGGGGCTATTCCTATGTTGCAGGGGGCTTTCAAGGGTACTTCTTTTAAGTTTCTCTAGGAGTTCTTTTTATAAACATGTATTGTACTTTAATTCCTTCTAAGAAAGTAGTGAGATCATCTCATGATTTCTTAGAGTATTCTATTTTATCTTGGGTGTTTTTCTAATGATTGTTATTGATTAAGCTTGAATTCTCAGATTGTTCTGATTGTTTCCTTGTGCTTATATTCCCTGACGTTCTAGTATGATATTATTATTCTGCTCATTGAGCCGGGAAAGGTCCAGGCACACTATCTGAATCACTGCCAGGGTATTCATAATGATTAAAGCAAAAAAGGTCATGATCTCTAAAGCAAGCACAATCACAATAGGTATTGCAAGGCCTTCCATGCCACGTCCACCAGGTTGGAAACTGCTTCCTTGAAGTCTTACACCCCCTCTCAGGACCTTGTCACGGAGAGAGGGATCCAACAGTGGACGCGGCAGTGGACGTGGCATTTCCCTCTCTTTTATTTTTCAGCCGAAAGTGATGAAATTCTAACGTAGTTTTTCGAAGGGAGGAGAGGATTACTCGGAAGACGACTGGAAAAACAAGGATTAAAATTAGAATAATTAAGCTAGTGATTCCAATATGTATTAAACTAGACCACCACATGACAGGGTTAATAGATTCTTGAATAGACTTCCAGATTCTGTCTGCAATTTCAGAACCTGGTGCAGTTAAATATGCTTGACTAATTTCTGTAATTTTGGTATGTAGGCCTTTGAGATCAGGTCCTAACATAGTATCGTGCCAAATATCTTGTAAATGAGTTTTTACCTGAGGCCAAGTGGTGGAATTTTGATCATAAGGCAAAGGTGTGACACAAATCCATTTAAAATCTGTATGACAACTAGTAGTCATTTGAGTCTTTATATTTTGAATCTGGTTACCTAAATATATAACTGTATCTTCTAAGGCATTTACTCTAGTTTCTAATTTCTTATCAATATTTTCTTGCAGAATTAGTGCAAGGGAAATATTGTGAGAGAGCTGATTAACATGCTGTGCAGTATGTACTTCTTGTACTAAAGCGGTAGTTGATAATGTAATAGAGGTTATTATACTGATTAAAGCAGTAATTCCTAATATTAGAGCGGCTACAAATCTTTTTGGTCTTATTAACCCATCTATTTTTTCTAGTATATATAAATCTGTATCAGTATACCAATCTTCAGATAGTACTACAGGCATCATGACATGCGAAGGCTGAAAAACTACCATGAATGTAGTCAAACTCTTGGGTAGTCCTGAATTAATGTAATTAGTTAAAATACAATTAGAACAATTAATATAAAAGGAAGACCCTTGTTGTTCAGTATAAATAGGTCCTATTAAAATTGCATGGGGAGTATTGACACAGGCTTTAGGAAGTTATTTTAAAGATATGCAGTAAGGCCTTGTGTCTGAACTCAGGGTGAGAGAGTTTTAGGAAGAACAAGTTATAAAGTGTTATTAGAATTAATAAACAATTAATGGTTCTAAGGACCCACATTCTTAGAGTAAGTCCATTAAATCAATGTTTTGGGGTTTAGTTAGTCAAAATTGTCACAGAGGGTTTGAAGAACTTCTTCCTCCGTTAGGCGTTGAATGTCCTGTAACTGTTATAGCTCTAAATGTAGTTCTAGCTGTAATTTATCAATTTGTTCCTTCAAGTTGGTAGAAAAAGTCTCTCTTAGGTGATGTTGAATACCGCTCCAGGGCTGCTAGCTGGGATTCCACTTCAGGGAGATGACATACAGTTTGGAGAAGTCTGGATCAAGAGAGTCTAATGGGTGGAGGTGGGTCATGGCCAGGGAAGTCTTTTTTGTGGTATGGTTTTATCTTCATTGTTGTAGTTCTAAGAGTTATTTTGGAAAGTAAACACAAGCATACCCTCTTCCCCAAGTTAAAAGTTCCACAGAGCCCTGTCAAGTGCCATTTCTTAGTAGATTTTTAAATAAAGGTGGCTTGGACTCTTTTGTCTGGAAATGTTTTATAACTGGAGTACAGAGCAATATATCAATATTTAGAAAATTATAGGTAAATATGGCCAGTAAAATTAAATTTGGGAGGGGAGGACTTATGACTCCCCTTTTTGTTTTTAAGAAGATCTTGTAAAGTATTATGAGCTCATTCTATAATTGTCTGACTGGTTGGATGGTAAAGTATTTTTGTTTTATGTTGAATATTCTAATGTTGAAGAAAAACTTGAGTAGAATAAGCAAGGTATTTAGGCCATTATCAGTTTTAATTTGCTGAGGCTGTCTTCAAGCCAATGGACTTGTATATTTTTGCAGATTTTCTTTTTAAAGTAGATGTAAAGTGCCAGAAGAAGTATCAATAGAAATATGAATGTATATGAATTTTCTAAGGAGAGTATAATGAGTGACATCTGTTTGTCAAATTATTTGAGAACTTAATCTTTGAGGATTAACTCTTGTAAAATGAGGATATTCTTTAATAATTTGAAAAAATGGTTATATGTCAAGGGCTTTCTGTGACTTGATTGACTAATTGTTTTTCCTTGGGAATAGAATAGCCAGTTCTTTCCCAAGGAAATGATCAGTGTTTACAGGTACTGAGTTAAAAAATGGTACTTTGTTTTCCAGGGAGAAGGGCTAGTTCTCCCAGGGAGACAGTACACATAGATCTCAGTTTTATAATAAAAGTCACAGTTTTGGCATAAATAAGGAGGATTTTTAATATTTCTTTAATATGTCATATTTTACATCACTTTTATCATGTTTTATATTGATAAATTTATGAATATATTCATAACCTTTAGAAATAGCTTTTTTATTGGCAAATATTTTTATTTTTTTATTAATTCTTATTGATTATTGCAAGGGGGGGAGATGTTAAGCTCTACACCTCTTGTTCTTAAGATTAAAGTAGTCTCTGAGTCTCTAGAAGGAGGATTTAGAGTGGTTAAAAGACACATTTTCTTATTATCTTTTTTCTTGTGCCTTTTACTGTCTGAGGGAAGTGAGATTTTATTTTTAAAGAATTAATTTAAATTCTTTCTGAGTAGAATCTTTATGATGTAATAATATTAGAGATCTTATTCTACTCATTGAAATATTTTGAGACAGATGTTATTTTAAAAATAAAAACAAAAGTAAAATTCAAGCAAACTAATATTTTAAATTAAATCCTCTAAAGGAGGGAGTGAGACACTAGTCTTTATCTTA